TGGGGGGTGTGGTGGCCATGCAGCAATCCTTTCTCCTCCATTCTCCTCTCTGGATCTTGGGCATGCATGCGCACATGCCCATTGTGAGTTTAAGTCACTGGATCTGGGACTCGAATCACAGTTGACTACATGGGAGTCCAGGAACATAGCCACTAGGCCAACTGCTGGTCCCTTACTTTCCCCTTCTCTGTCTCCCTCTGGCAAGTGCACATACCCTATGGCAAAAACCTAAAAAATATAAAATAAAAAGAAATGCTCTGGGACCCACAGGTGGCATAATGGTTATATCACTGGACATAGTTGACTGCAGTTCTAGTCCCGGACTGGGCAGCTTAAAACACACCGGGTGTGTGTGTGTGTGCATATTCAAAATCCCAAGAGAAGGAATTACGGTGGTGGTGGGGGGGGCACACACTGTGATTTCTCGCTTTTGTCTGTCCCTTGGTTGAGCGCACATGCCCTATAGCAAAAGTCTCTTAAAAAAAAAGAAAAGAAAAGAAAAGAAAAGAAACCCTTTGTGACCAGCAGTCGCTCCCCACCCTTCCTAGTCATTGGCCACCAAGGACCCACATTCTGTCTCTCTAGACTCACCTGTCCTGGACATTTCAGAACAGGATCAGAAAACACATGGCCACTCTATACCCAGTTTCTACACTTGGCATACGGCGTTCCAGGTTCGTCCCCCTCACAGTGTGTGTCAGGAGCCATCCCTCTTTAAGGTAGAGACATACCACATTTTATTTATCCATTCTACAGGTGGTGAACACGTGGGCTGTTTCCACCTTTCCCGTTATTTTGAGTAATGTCTGGGAACGTCTGTGGACGAATTTCGTGTGGACATCTGCTTTCTTTTCTCTTGGGCACACACTTAGGAGTAGAGGGGCTGGGTCCTGCGGTGACTGCCTTAGTTTTTGAGGGACTGCCAAACTGTTTTCCAAAATAGAGGCACCCTTTTAGGTCCTCACTGGTAACCTAGGAGGGTTGCAGTTTCTCCCCATATTTGCCAACACTCGTTGCTTTCTGCGTTTTCTATTCTAGACTTCGTGGGTATCAAGTGGTATTTCACTGTGGCTTTGATCTGCACTTTCCTGAGGACTAGGCATGTGAAGCAACTTCACAAGTGCTTGTCTGGCCATTTGCAATCTTCAGAAAAATGTCTATTTGAATCCTTTGCCCATCTGCTAACTGGGTTGTTTGACTTTCTGTTGTTCGGTTGTAAAGTGTTCTTTGTAACGGACACTACTGGGTCTTCAGAAAAGTTGTGACACATCTTTGCATAGAAAAACATACAAAAATACATCATGACTTTCCCGACGATCTAACAGACTCTCATAAGATGAATGATCTCCAATTATTTTCTCCCACTATGTGGGTTGCCCTTTTTTTTTTCTTCGCTTTCTTGAGCAAATCATTGAAGGCAGAAATGACTTACATTTTGATGAAGTACTACTTATCTATTTTTCATTTAGTTGCTCATCTTTAACCTACACGTATAATTCTCTCACACACCAAAAAACATGGGTCTTCCTAATTACTGCCCTTTCAATTCTCCAAGCTAAAACTCAAGTTACCTCAGCTGTGCCTCTTCCTTGTTCCCACCTCTGGGGGCTTCTCACATCTCCTGACAGAGCCTCTCACGTTCTTCTCATTCCTCCCCAGCTCCCCTACTCCTGGTCTCTAGTCTTTCTTGGGCGTTCTTCCACATAGCTCTTGACTTACTGGCAGCCTGTGAGTCTCTAAGGACACCCTATCCCTACACAGCAGCCCCCCACCCCTCAGCATACTCCTGAGCAGTTGGGCCCACCAGATGCCATTCAGGGGTCTCACAGCATGTGCTCAGAGCAGACCTGTCATTCCTAGTTTCTCACCTTCATGTTTTTTGATGCATGTCACTTAACCCCAGGAATATCTTTTTCTTTTTCTCTTTCTTTCTTTCTTTTTCTCTTTCTTTCTTTCTTTTTCTCTTTCTTTATTTCTTTCTCTCTTTCTTTCTTTCTTTCTTTCTTTCTTTCTTTCTTTCTTTCTTTCTTTCTTTCTTTCTTTCT